CAATGAGATCAAAGTAAAGTCAACTAAAGATCTTTGGGGAATGTCTGTTCGAGTGTGCAGGTCGTTTATAGAGACTATTGCGCCGCACTTAACTTTCATTTTTAATAAAAGTATAGATCAAGGGGTTCTCCCTGATTTAATGAAACATAGTAAAGTAGTTCCATTGTTTAAATCTGGCGATAGTACAGAACCTAATAACTATAGGCCGGTCTCTATTTTGCCAGTGCTCTGTAAAGTGTTCGAAAGGTTGATGCTTACTCAAATGCTGCGTCACTTTAACACGAATTCTATTTTCCATGACTATCAATACGGGTTCACCAAAGGACGTTGCACTATGGACGCAGGAGTATCACTTATAAAACAAGTTTTCAACTCGTGGGAAAAAGCACAGGATGCTATCGGAATATTTTGCGACCTTTCAAAGGCATTCGACTATGTTGAGCACGAGACGCTGTTACTGAAGCTAGAATACTACGGCATTCGGGGGGTATCCCTAGATTTATTGAAATCATACCTTCAAGAAAGAAAAATTAAAGTACAACTCAACAAAGTTAACTCACTGGGTGCTAGCGTATCTATGGGCGTATCGCAGGGCTCAATATTAGGTCCTTTTCTATTTTTAGTTTATGTGAATGACCTGCCCCATTTGTTCCAAAATGAACCGCATATGGTATTATTCGCTGGTGACACTTCATTGATTTTTAAAATAAATAGACGAACAAACAAATATGACGAAGTTAATAATGCCTTAATGAAGGTTCAAAATTGGTTTACAATAAACAACTTATTACTAAATGATAAAAAAACTAAATGCATTAGATTTATTTTACCAAATGTTAAAAGTAACGTATGTGATGATATATTATTAAATGATCAGAAACTAGAATTTGTAAAAGAGACTACTTTCCTGGGGATCACTGTACTCTAAGCTCTACAGCTTATGCTGTCTGGAAGATCCCTCAGCTAACCGATGTAGGCACAGCAAGACTAGTGTACTTTAGCTACTTTCACCGCATCATGTCGTATGGAATTCTGTTGTGGGGACAGGTATCCGACTTTGAGTCTATCTTAATCTTGCAAAAGCGTGCCATCAGAGCTATATATAACTTAGGTCGTCGCGAATCTCTCAGAGAAAAGTTTAAGGAGATCAACATTCTGACCGTACCGAGTCAATTTATTTATGAAAACATTATGTATGTTAGGAAAAACCTACACTTATTTGTAAAGGTATCTGACAAACATGATTACCATACTAGACATAGGAATAGATTGAGTCAGCCTTTATTTAGATTGGCAAAAGTGCATAAGTCATTCCTGGGTTTCTGTGTTAAATGTTATAATAAAATCGCAGTTGAAATTCAAAATCTAAATGAAAGCAAATTTAAATTATGTATAAAGAAACATTTATGTAAACTAGCATACTACAAACTAAATGATTATATACAAGATAAAAATGGTTGGAGGCTAGCTGGTCCTACTCCACAGGATGTTTAGAGGAATTTTTGATTTTAATTATTAAATTGTACACTATGTTGTTAATTGTTGATGAACTTCTAAGTTTTTGTAAATGTGAGTGTCCTGTAACCTATTATAATTAAGTAAGACTTGTAGAATATAGGTACTTGTGTCGTCTGGGAGCTGTCATGCTCACTCAGAGGTCTCATTGGCGATCCAGTGCCCGTGCCATTGGGCACGGGCACTGGATCGCCCAATTCCCTATAATATGGTTGCGTTGGGCTGTGCTGGTGTACGTGTCATGTTCGTGAACGGGCGCCGCTTATTGGGACTGGTCATCTCCAGGCTGTCTAAATATGTTGTCCTTGAGGTTCACTTCTTTTTCGTACTTTTACTTGCCTGAACATTAGTGTTACATTGTTCTCACATATCAGAACCGACTAAATGATGTAACAAAGAAATGTATTGTAAAACTGATTGAAAAAGAGTAACCATGGAGTTTCTTGCTCGTTCTTCTCCATAGGAATCTACTCTTTGGAACGAGCAAAAAGCTTCACTAGAGGACAGACGGACAGACTGACACGCTTAATTTTAAAGCTCATGTTATATACTATTTTCCTTTTTTGCTTGCTTGACGTTCAAAAGTGCCTACTATACTGTACTGTGGTCTAATTGAAATAAATGATTTTTGACTTTTTTAAAAGATAGACATATACTGTTGTAGGATATTTTGTAGATGATTTTATGTTGAACATTCCCTTGATACATGATTTCTATGTAACTTTAACCATTAAGGCTGCACAAGTGGCGGAAGCTAATATATGGTGTAATTTCTCCCGTTTTCCCAACAATTCCCTCCACGGCTCTGCTCCTATTAATTGTAGCGTGATGAAAAGCCTCCTATAACCTGCTCAGAAATATAAAGAATTAGCGACACGACCCGGCTTCGCACAAGTAGACATTTATTTTTTAAGCTCTCTGAAAAAAATATTTTGTTTTGTTATTTGTTTGTTCTATCCTTTCACGGCACCACAGGGTCCCGGACCTTTGAAAGGCGTACGAGGAGCCGAAGCCAACTCGCAGAGACCCGTTAAACAGTTTTAATCTAAATGTGATGGGACATCAGCCGGCAATTATCCCTGTATGCACTATATAAGTGCACCCAAGGACAATCCCCGGTTGATGCAAGACTATTGTGAAATGTGGTAAAAATTGATAGGGTTATGAATATGGGTTGCTATGGACTGATGGATATGATAACTATGGAAATACTATGGCCCCTGCCCCTGACCAATATTGATACATACGGATAAACAGGCAGGGGGTGACTGGCAAACTCAATTAATGGGCCCCCGAAAACGGCCGCTAGCATGTAGCGACACGGAGGCAACATACGTTGAGCTGCTTGGGGAAGGAGAGACATCCCACGGCTATCAGAGCAATCCCGGAAGTACAGTCAAGACCCCTACCAGCACCTTACTGAGATACAATCTTCCCCCGAGTATCCTTCAACTCCTACTCTTGCGAATCTCCACTCAAGCCAGCCAATTAAGGCAAGAATGAGGTAGGAGGGCTTGTACTTCATCAGTGTTCACTCCAGCTCGTCACGAGGACTAACCGGAGAGAGAAGAACAAGACACCTCCCGGGAGTCAGGTCCGTGGGGTCGCCACTGCCCAACAGCTCGCCACAAGCTGCCTTGCGGATGTTTTGTTATTATTATTTATATATTATGTTTTTAAAGGTTTTTTATACGTGTGTTTCTTTGTTTTGTACCTGCTTAACTCTTTTATTTTCGTTTTTAATTTTATCGACTTTACTTACCTTACTGCTTCACTACAGGTACACTATGTTCGCAGTGGTATTTGTAGATGGCATTAAAACATAATAATATTGGTTTTCAGGAGATCCTACTCGAGAAAGTGCAACATATAATTTGCCCATGACAAGAGCACTCTTTTCTGAGATCGATGTCTATGTACTATTGAAAAAGTTTGACCCTGGGATTTATTTATTGTAAGGGCAAACGATACCTTGACGGGAAACTGTAATCTTTTACTTTAACTGTTTAACTGTAAGCAAATGGCAAATCTGTCGATATAAAATAAAAAATGTCAAATGAAAATTAAAAATGTCACAACACAATAGGTGATAATGTCATTGTATAAAAAATAAATAAACATAATGTCAAATTGTAATTTGTACCTATACATAAAAAAAGTGCAACTTATTGTACTTATGTTACCTACAAACATGTCAACATGACCTGTGTCGAGGTTACAGCGGCTCATTTACAAGCCTGACTATCTTCTAAGTAATCTTTTATTTTATACTAGCTACTCGCGCGGTTTCACCCACTTGCTCGGCTCCATTTAATCGAAGCGTGATCAACATATTTGTTTTTCCCCCTCGTTTTAATATTATGTATATCACTATACCTACTTTGTTTTTATGAGCGTGCATTACATTTTCATAAATATATTGAGAGGCAAGTGGCATTAGGTATTTTAGATTCCTTAAATAATTCTCTGAGCGAATGCCTCGAACTAACATTATAGATTGATCGAATAGCCCTCTTCTGCAGAACAAAAATAGACTGCATGTCAGCAGCATTCCCCCACAACAAAATACCGTACATGTGACATGATGCTGTGAAAATAACTAAAATAAACTAACCCCGCTGTATCTGCATGCATAAAATTTTCAATTTTTTTTAACGGCATATGCTGCAGAATATTTGTTCGGGTTTGGTTCTGGTCGTACGGTGATTAAGTTTCACGCCGTTTGCAGACCCGCCCGAGGAGACTGCGTCCTAGAATTACCTACCCATTTTTTTATTATGAAATCATCAAATGACTTCTCCCGCCCAGGGCTGGGGCGGGAGGGAGTGTCAGACTCTTACTAGTTACCAGAAACTCCCCGTTCCTTCTCCTGCTCTGGGCCGAGGTCACGGTGCCCCATTGCGCTTACCCCGCAGCCCCGGCTTAAGTCATTAAGACTAACCCATATTTCCCCACACAAAAAAAAAGAGCGCGATTTAGACCAGACACAACGCCATCTAGCGAGTGAATATATGTAGATTGTAGAGTATTTATTGTATATCATTGACATGTATGAAAGATTTTAGCTTTTTATATACATATACCTAGCTAAAAACCTATTAGTTGCTAAGGTTCTAAATTTGCTACAAGTACCTTAGATTTTTGATGATTGGTCAGTGTATGACAAAATGTGTCCCTATGACGCGGGAACCATTGGTTTAAATGGCATATGTGATTTTGAGACTGAGCTAGTTTGAGTACTTAATTTAGGTCATCGAAAACCGTGATAGATGGGGGGGAAATAGACTCGAAACGCGTCGAGAAAAGGATGGTACGACCGTGCCCGTTTTGCTCCAGACTTGGCTGGGCTAGACTGCCTTGAATGCCTTGGCAAATAGAATTCCATGATTAAATGCGCCAACTAATAATGCCACATGACAATATAATGCATTATCTTATGTTCTGTATACTTAATTGATATGATGATCTAAATTTGTAACTAAACGCGTTTTTGCTGTCAAAAGTTTGCTTTTCAATATTGTCATTCTTGTCAAAGTCACATAGTATTGTAATATTTACTTGTAGAGTCAAAAGATCTTTGTATTATTTAGATCTACCTATCTATTTATTCTATTTTTTTTATAAACTGTCACAACCGGGCACACAACAAAACACTGTCTATTTGATTATAGAAAGCTAATAGATTTTAATTCCTGCTTTATCACCGGCATGGTGGTCGCTGTGTTATTGTGTCGTTGGGGGTGAACATTCAGTCAGTGCTGGTGTTGCTGACTGCTAGTAGTGCTAGTAGTATTAGTCCACATGCTTTGGATTGAACTATTTGAAACGAGTAATATTTAATATAGTTAGCAGTTGACATGGCGCTATACGAGGGGATAGCGCTAATACAAGAGAAGCAAGCTGTCGTGTTGGATCTCGGCACTGACTACACAAAGTGAGTATGTCGATGATAGTGTCATCATTTTCATCATATCTCCAGTCCATTGCTACCTGCAATCGCTACCATATAATTTTCAACCATATTGTACAATATTCTTGCATCAAACGGGTGTTGCCTTTGGGTGAATCTGCATAGTGCATAAGGGAAAATTGCGGGCTGATGTCCAATGTCACAAAAATTAAGTTGTTCAATAGTGTTTACAAGTTGGCATAGGCCCCTCAAATGCTTATCGGTATATGACCCTGTGCGTCTGTTAATTTAATCAATTACTTAGTCATTTTGAAATTCATTAATTTAAAAGTAAACTTAACCTAAAGAGTACTTAGGAATGGGATCTGTTTAACAAAAATAGAGAGGCTGTTATAAATGTTTATTACCATCCCAAATGTAATAGATTTTATACTTTGCAGTGCTACATAATTATATATTATACTTGTCAGTATTTCATTTGCTTTATACCAGAAATGTTTATTTGTATAGAATGTACATATAACAATAACATGTTAACAAAAATTCAAGAAACCATGTTCTGCCTTTCTGCATACAAACATTTATGGGTAGACAGTCATTGTACAGTACACATTGCAGCTTGCAGAACAAATATTTCATCATCATCATCATCAGCCTATAAGTGTCCACTGATGAGCAAAGGCCTCTTCTCATATGGAGAAGGTTAGAGCATTAATCACCACGGTTGCTCAATGCGGGTTGGCAATTTCAAACTTATAATTAGAAAATTATAAGTCCAGGTTTCCTCACAATGTTTACCTTCACCGTATGTCAGCAGAGTCTTAATAATCATACAAAGTAAGTATAACTCCATGTAATGTGTCCAAAAACAATATGTCAATCCCCCCGCCAGCCGCACTTCCCACCCGCGTAGTGTTGCCGATAGTGGAACAATTCCCTTGGTTTGGGGTAATTTTACAACAGGAGGGTAAGATATATTTTGTTGGGTAAACTCAAAAAAATAGGTAAACTTATGATAAATGCAACAGACTAGTTCTTAACACATTAATTCATGGAGGTATCATAAAAGTTGACGATTTCTGACTGTGTTGTTACACCTACTATGCACAACAAATAAAACAAAGCTTAATTAAGTAAAAAGGTTTTATTGCGTTCCCTTTTGTTGGTTTAGTTTTTTATAATATGTATTGTGTTTAGACTCGGAACTAAAGATTAGAAGTCTACTTATTTTATGTACTTAGTTCCTGAGATTAGCGCATTCAAGCAAACAAACAAACATTATAATTAATATAGATATACCTTAGTAGGAAATGCTGTTTTCAAACCACCTTTGTCATAAATAATTATCGCTTCAAAGTGAATTGTTTCCTAAATTCATCTAACCATGCTCTTTGTATGATTTTTATTTTCTTTGTTAGTCGGCAGGGAAACTTATATGAGATAGGCTCCATAATGGACAAAAAAATAACTCACAACAAATAAATAAAAGGGTAAAATTTTCACCAAAAATGACAACACTCAGAAAATGGCCGCACCATTTTCATAGAAAAATAAATTGGTAAAGAAAATTCAGTAATTAATTAAATATACTATTGCAGTCGATGCTTGCAGAGGAAATGTAATCTTATCCACTTTTTTTATAATTCTAGCCGCATTTTTACTCGTATAAATAACACAAGACGGCATAATGAAATTAAAATTGATACTCGTAAATACGTCACGACATGCCACGTGCCAAAATTGACTAATCGTACAAATTTCATACTACTCTAGTTGAGAGTGTTTTGAGTGACTTCAGTTTGAAGCGCGTTGACGCCTTCTGGTTTGTTCTGTATTCTGAGTTATTAAGCTACCTTTTTTTAATAATTTGCACATTTTTTGATGCTACCTCTTTTAGTTTTGTGATGCTACCTCTAATCCATATTGTGAGTTGATATCAAGGTCAGCAGTTTCTTTTTATGTCAATACACAATGTTTTTAAATAAAAAAGGATATTTCTTCAAATATTACGTAAAAAAATATCATTTGACTGTACATATTTTTTACTTCAGTTATCATTAATGGTCCCAGTTGACGTCGGATTTCTTTTTTTTTTATGTTCGAGTTTTTATGGTCCCAGTCAAACCTCTTTTTAATAATCATTCACGTGGGCACCGAAATTCTCAAATTTTCCGGTTTTCCCGGTACTGGCCCTGGTTCAATAACACTCCTTCACTTCCAAACCTTAGGTACCAGTTATTCGGGAAGTATTTTCTTTTATTTTTCTTTTATCTACATACATTGACGGTAGACTGAGTTTTGTAGACCACATCGACAAAATTCTTAATCTAGCCTACCAAGCATGGGTTCGTCCTGCGATCCTCAAAAAACTAAAAAACCTTCCACCACCCATTTTTTGTTTAATAGTTATGTCCGCGGTACTTTACGAGTACCTACTGTAGTACAGTCTGGAGTCCATCGTATCAAGTGCAAGTTTAATTGTAATTCCAGATTATTCTCAATTTATTTAATGTTGACTTCATTTCATTTGGTTACCATTATTTGACATATAAACAAACCACAAGTACAGCGGGCTAGAGTATGTGATGCAATAAATTTGCCATTGGTGCAGGTTTGGCTTCACAGGCGAGGCGGCGCCGCGCTGCATCGTGCGCTCGGAGTTCTGGTGCCCAGCCACGCGGCGCGTCCGGCGCCTGCACGACTACAGCTCGGCCGCGGAGCTCTACGACAACCTCGTGCATATGCTGCACCAGCTCTACTTCAGGTCTGCTGAACGTGCCCCTCGAGCCTGTCTAGAACGTTGTCACTTTGCTCTAACGAAAACATTCCCACAGGCACGTACTGGTCAACCCGAAGGAACGTAAAGTTGTAGTGGTGGAGTCTCTGCTTACTCCTACTCTGTTTCGTGAGACGCTAGCTAAAGTGCTCTTCATACACTATGAGGTAACATTTATGCATATACACTTGCCTTGCAATTACGTTACATGCTAGTACAAAAACAATCGTGTAAAGCAACATGGCCAGTGTAATTTCAAAAAGTTGATAAGCAAACAAACAAATACCGAATTAATGTCAAAAGTCTTAAAGTCTTTATTTGTGAACCAAGATAACCTCGAAGTACAATGGTGGCGTGTAGACACAGTCCAGTGTCTGTTAGATCACGCTATATAAGCGTCATGCAAGTTAACGTGTAATGAAAAAATTGACACCGAGCCAGGCAATTTTGCCAGCCACTGTATTTTGATCCACAAATTGTTGTTTCGGGCCGAGTATGTCTGTAAACACACACACGACTGATGAGAAAAGTGTAGTGTGGCAACACTTAATAATTGTATAGTCGAGTGGAGTCGCGTGTTGAAGTAGTGGGTGCGTGCAGGTGTCGGGCGTGGTGTGGGCCGACAGTCCGCGGCTCTGCGCGCTGACCCTGGGCGCGCCCGTCGTGCTCGTCGTCAGCATCGGCGCCAAGGACGTGGAGGTCGCCGCAGGTACACTAGTTACACTGCTTTCATATTTTATAAATACATACATTCACATATTGCTAGACCCGAGTAGCAACTAGCAAAGTACATGCCACTAAACATTGTACGGTTGGCACATGTCGGCAGTGGTGCACTCGTGCGTGGTTCTACACGCGCTGCAGTCGCAGCCGCTGGGCTCGCACGCCGTGCACGCCGAGCTGGCCAGGATGCTGGACGAGCACAACGGAGGCCCGCTACACCTCGACGACCAGGTCATCGAGGACATCAAAGGTATCGAGAGCGCGATCGACCTCCTTCGTGACAATAGGAACTGTGTAAAACGTATCTCTCTCCGTTTGCAGTGAAGACGTGTTTCGTGACGAGCCGGGCCCGCGCCCTGGCGTGGGAGTCGGACAGCCCGCCGAGGGCGGCGCGCGACGTGCGCTACGGGCGCGTGACGGTGCCGGGGCGCGCGCGCGAGCTGGCGGCCGAGCCCTTGTTCCGGCGCGACCACGAGCAGAGCTCGCTGCCCGACGCAGTACTGCAGTGCGTGGCGGCCAGCCCGCGCGACTGCCGGCGCGCGCTGGCGGCCGGCATCCTGCTGACGGGCGGCGGCGCGGCGCTGCCCGGGCTGCGCGCGCGCCTGGCGGCCGAGCTGCGCCAGCTGGTCACGCAGCCCCCGTACTGCGACACGCTGCACGTGCGCGAGTTCAAGTTCCACGACGCGCCGAGCGCGGCCAACGCGTGCGCCTGGCTGGGCGGCGCCGTGCTGGGCGCGGGCGAGGCGGGCGCGGCGCGCGCGATGCCGCGCGACCAGTTCGCGCGCGCGCCGCGCCTGCGGGACTGGGTCTGTCTGCTCGACAACACGCCGCCCGGACACCCGCACCGCGACCATCTCGACATATAGCCGCCGTCTCTACACTCATCGCTCACTTCTAATTCTTTTGTGAATATCTTAAAACACCTCTGCGGAGAAGATCTATTTATTTACTAATTATAAAGAGATATATTTATTCTTAGTTAAGTATATTACCACGCAACTAATAATAGTTAACGAGCTTTACCAACTAAGTGATTTGTAACTTTATTTGAACAATAAAAATATCCTGTAAGAAATTCTAAGCAAACATTATTTTTTTTCTACACTGTGATTGGCTATAAGCACGATATGATTGACCCCTTTACTGATACGTGACTCCCAGTACTTCCCATAAATATACAATACATCTCTTTTTTACAGAACAATTATTGTCTGCACATACTGTTTTTGATGCTGTGATGAACAGAGAGCTGATCTAATTGTCTTGAACCACTTAATATCCGAAAGATACGTAGAGATGGGGCTCTACAGTCGAACAACTCGTTCGACTGTGGAGCGCCGGTTGCCGAACCCAAATCGGTGTTTAAGAATAGTATTGCGGAATTCCATGTGTTTGTAGCCGAGACATGTACATTTTTCCCCCCACCTCTGATAGTGCCGGTGTATTACCGATCGGTCGAAACGAGGAAGCTTCGTTAGAAGGTATGCCAGTTTTGTGTATCATGGTGATTTGTGATATTTTCCATAGATTATAATAGTATGAAGAAGTAAAAGTGATATTAGAAATGCAAAGTACTTTCTAGTTAAGTTTTTGAGAACAGCTGGAGTAAGTACCTAAATCAATCCCGTGCTTTGTGGGGATCAAGTTGTTTAACTATATTTGTTATTTTGGAGGCATGGGTTTAGTAGGTTAGCAAAAGGTCAGAACTTCATCTTCGTCACGTGACATTCTCTAAGTTGTTGGTCTGCGAATAGTTCCGGTTTTTCAGCGTCGCCCAAAAGGAAGAGCATATGAGAGGATGTATATGTCCACAGTGTCGCTGCAGTTTACCAACAATGATCGTCGCCTTCCGTAATGAACTTTCACCTGTTCCCTGTAGTTATAGATTTTCTAAGAATTTGTGTTTTCTGGCGTTTGATGCTTCATTAAGAAATCCCTTCTAGAATAGACGGATTACCTGATGGTACTAAGCGATCAGCGCCGCCCGTGGGGTGTCCATGGCAACAACAAAGGAGTTCCTCACTCCACGGCGAAACACAACGCTGTGGTTGTCGACGGCGTTTTTCTGTGAGGCCATAAACTATTAACATATTTTTAATAATCGATTTCATTCTATTACTATTGTGACTATGAGTAACTACCGAAACTAGGGTATGCTAGTATCTTGGGAGCCTGAGTTGTGGTAACATAAATTGATAGAGCATTTTTCGTTAGTGTGAGTGTGGACAAAAGTTGGCAGGATTAAAATATGTACATAATTGCAACAAAAGAATAAAAACTGAAAAGAATAAAAATGTTTGTGGGTGTGTGTGTTTCTTTATAATATGCATGTTTGTATAATGGGAAAGTATATGTGGAAAGGCAGGGACATGGAAAGAAGGGTTAAACTATCAGCTCAACGACTCGACGACAACGACGACATATGATGGTGTGAGCAATACTTTTTGTACGGCTTTCTTATAGGATTGGGTGTTTAAACTTTTATCTCGCTTGTTTATTTTGTTGTAAATAATAGGGGCAACGCCTAGTCAAGAGACTGGTGAACGTACAATATGCGTTTAGAGAGAAGATAGTGGTAATCAGGTCTATCTTTTACAGCTGTGTGTGCAGATCACATTTTCATAGGTTTGATACTTAGACCATAGATTACTAACAATTGAATTTTAATTCCTCTATGGTTCAATGTTGGGATGTTATATTGTCATTTGTCATGACTGTCATTTTCATTTTGTCAACTGTCAAATGGTCTTTTTGTCATCATAGGTTGAAAAATCTAAAAATACTAGAAATTAACCATCTTTCGTTGTACCAACAGGTTTTTATCAACAATAATAGAGCTCTTGCATCATGTCGGATATAAAAATAGTAGCAGCAAGTATTGTGAACTTTTTAAAACGGCAGCTAGAAGGTGACTCGCTCAGCGTGGACTCGCGCGAGAGCGTCGAAGTCGGCGTGCAGTGCATCGAGACCGCTTTTGAACTGGGCCCTGAGGATGCCGCTCGTGGTGTCGATCTGCTGCAGCTCGTTCGTGCACAGGTACGTCCTACATCGCTCACTGCGCCGCCTTCACGCTCGGAGGCTGAGAAGCTGAAAAATGAAGGTAACGAGTTTATGAAGAGCGACCGCCATAGAGAGGCATTAGAGAAGTACACACGCGCCATCGAACTCGACCCCACCAATCCCGTTTACTTCTGTAACCGAGCTGCCGCTTATTTCAAGCTCGGGGACTTCGAAGGATCTGTGGCTGACTGCACAGCTGCGTTGGGCTTGCAACCGGACTACGGCAAGGCGCACAGTCGCCTCGGTCTAGCGCTCACGGCATTGGAGCGGCACCGTGAAGCTCGTGCAGCATACGCCCGTGCCGTGCAACTAGAACCTGAAAACGAAACATATCGCCAGAACCTGCAAGTCACGGATGAGCTGTTGGCATCGCACGGTGAGCGAGCACCCCTAGATCTTGGTGGACTCCTTCAGAACCCAGCACTGTTAAATATGGCCACTGAAATGCTGGCCGATCCCAACATGCAGAACCTTATTTCTGGGCTCATGAGTGGCGCGGGCGGAGCGGGTGCTGGCGGTGGACAGGCGGGCGGTGCGGGTGGGATGTCGGCGCTGCTGGAGGCGGGCCAGGCTCTGGCGCAGCACATGCAAGCTGCAAACCCGGAGCTGGTAGAGCAGCTGCGCCGCCAGGTGCGTCCGCCTGGTCCCAACCCACCGCAGTGAGGCTACGCTCTCTGCTCCTTGCATGTTATTCCTTGGGGGAAGATTGTTTAATCTTTTAAGATGTAATATAATTTTATTTTATTCCCGTTTATTAATTATGGAAATAATTTCATGGACTTTTATGTTTACTAGAAGTGTCTACACTCTGCTGAACACTCACTCATAACAATTGATTGGCTTGCAGGACCTACTTTGTGTGAGCTGCTCATAATTTTGATATGGTTTCTAGATTGTGCACCAATGCAGGCAGATGCTCACACATTGCAATATGCATTTATTCTTTGTGAATGACCGCAAACACTATTCAAGATGGAACTTGTGTCATTGAATCCCTAGTTAGACTCAAATTGTATTAAGTGCATCCTATAGAGGATAAAATGCATGGAGGCCATGCTCATTATATAATGTAAAATAATATGAATATGTGAGGAATGTTAAATGGGAGGAAAGCATCAAGAGTTTATCTCCATTTAGTCCAAATTATTATAAACTAAGGTTTCAAGATTGGTATTGTTAATAAATTTATTTAAATAACTGTAAGTTGCTTTTTTTTCGGTCACAAGGTTACCGGATGATTTATTACCAATTTGTTGGTTTTATTTGATAGGTCAGCAAACAAGCAGACTTCCTGATGGTTAGCAAGACCAGAGGAATTAAAAGCTGGGTTTTAGTCTGTGCTACGTCTATCTGTACCTACCTCTGCACATATTAGTGTGGGTGAGGTAACATCATGGTCTACCAAGCCCAAATCAGGTGTTGCATGGATTACTGCTCCCATCATAAGGATGGCTCGGCTAAGACCCAGGTAGAACACCTCTAGTCCACCAAGAAGCTTGTGAACCATCTTCTGCTGAGGAATGGAATTTCCTTGTGAGATCAGAGTGCCTTCAAGTCTCGAGTGATTAGGTTGTTTATAGGTAAGAGGCGTGTGCCATCTTCGGTTATATTATCGCCTGCCATGTTTGGCGAGTAAGTTGCTCTAACCTGAGCAGCTTAGCAAATTGTTTTCACGAATTTTACTTGTGGAAGCTTTTTTTTTAATGTGTGATAGGTCGGCAAACGAGCAAACGGATTACCAGATGGTAAGCAATCAGCGTCGCCCATGGACACCCGCAACGACGAAGTTACGAGTGTGTTGCCGACTTTTCGGGGATTAGGGTTTTGAAGGATTGGGCCTCCAGTAACCTCACTCACACGACGAAACCCAACTCTGGTTATTTCACGCCTGTTTTTTGTGAGGCCGTGGTATTACTCCAGAGAGTGGCTCTCCCACACTTAAAAATTAATAGTCAGTAAACTTTCTTTAAAACTATGTAATAATAAATCTAAGTAGGTACCTAAATATCCAAAGAAAATAAAATCTCCTTGATTAATTTAGTTTTAAGCTTGTTAGGTACCTATCTATATATTTCAATTAGTTCGAGCATTAATAACTATGCTGGCTCAAGGCGGTTTGGCGACATCAAACTTATAAGTCCATAATATTTTCCTCCAGAAAAAGCCCTACAAATAAAATGAGATGAAAAAAAAAAGAAATTATAATTATTCTTCTCCGCCGTATGTCAATGGTGTCTAATCTATAGGTACTTATCTAATATTATAAAGCTGAGCTGATTATTCATAGTTTTTCTGAACGCGAACGCGTGAAAAAAAAAAACGCGCTAATCTCCAGAAGCACTGGTTCGAATTGAACAATTCTTTTTGTGTTCGTTAGTTTATTTTTCGAGGCAGGCTATCACATACATCACGCTAAGATTTGTAGGAACCAAGCAGCGGGTAAAACCCGCGATAGTAGCTAGTCAATCATAAAAAGTAGTAATTACACACTTAAAGTAGGTAAGTATATATAGTTAATGAAAAAATAAAAATAGTCCTTTCCGCCATTGTATTACCAGACAATCTGTAAAACCTGCAGTCCACACGCAAAGCGACTCGCCTTGAGTTAGAATCGTCAGTGCGCAGTCCGCTTATGAAGTGGAATCATATGCCGGAATCTATGTACTTCGAGGGGTACAACGTAACCTAAGTATGTCCTGGAGCTAATTATGGACAGGCGTGCTGCCGTGTGCTCCATCATAGGTCGCATCATTGCTTACTACCAGGCGAGATAGTGGCCAAACAGTTAAAAAGGCCTTTTAATTATTTTTAGCATTACTATATTAGGTAAGACATCATGTACATAGATAATCAATAAACGTTTGTATATAAATGTTACCTATCTACCGGCTTAACGTTTTCTGTTAACAATTAAAGTTATATTTATTATTATATATTTATATTACCTATAACTTATTCCATAATGTCTTACACAAACTATACTTAATAATTTACTATAAATATATTTTCTACGAGCACCTATCACATGTTCGTATAGAAAATACAGTTTTAGATACAGCGTACCTTATTTCAAGTAAGTTAGAATGTATAAAAAACAGGTTAAGTGGTTGATATAATGAGGGCGAATTAATTGACTACGAAAGAACTTCTGGTACTTAATATAAAATTCGATATTGCTTATTTTCTTCACTACCTACATATAATTTGTGATTGCCTGCGCTTGTGACGTCACGATGCTGTTGTCTATTAATTTATTGTGACCATGGTGTACACAGTGTACGCCAGTCCTACCAATCAGTGCAGTGTACGGTACAATGCACTGATAGGCAATTCGGGTTGAGTTAGGGATGCCACCGATACCTAAGAGATACAATAGAAAACACAAAAAGGTACATGGTGTCTCGCGTAGATCTGCGTCCCGCATATTACGGGATGTGTGGACGTTAAAATGATTTTTCAAGACTCGAATCTAAAATTATATATGTTTTTTTATGTAATTGGTCGGCAAACGAGCAGATGGATTACCTGATGGTAAGCAATGAGCGCCGCCCATGGACACCCGCAACGGAGGAGTTACGAATGCGTTGCCGACCTTTTAGGGATTTGGAGATTTAGGGATTGGGGGCGGGGAAGGATTGGGCCTCCAGTAACCTCACTCACACGGCGAAACACAACGTGGTTGTTTCACGTCGGTCTTCTGTGAGGCCGTGGTATCACTCCGGTCGAGCCCACCCATTCGTGCCGAAGCATGGCTCTCCCACACTTAAATTATACATAAGTAGTACCAGAAAAAGTGTTACTTACACTACTTTTTAATGTAAAATAATTTTACATTAAAAAGTAAGTATAAAGTAAGATAAGTAGATACATAAGTAATAATATGATATGTTTATGTAACATGATAGGTACGTCTAACAGAAATGAACAAGAATTGGTGATATATCAGTAAACATGCATTTACCAAAGTTATTTTAAAATTGTTTATTTCGTGTTTCTGTTTATATGCGGAGGATGCAGTGCTGGCGATATGTTGGACAAGAACTATTTTCGTCACACGTATTGATATGTAGAAGTGTGTGTATCATTGGACAGTGCAATATTCTACTCTTAGTACTTTTATATTCTGCCATTTTGCAATATAATAATACGATGAGGATGCTGTTGGGACAGCCTCGATGGTGTAGCGCGTCTGGAATGTAAGTACCTACTAGGTACTCCTTTTGCTCCTGAGAAAAGCCAGAGTAGATAATTTTTATGGCAATATACGCAAGCGATATGCATCCGTGATGCAGCGATTGAGATATCTACAGTCCTCACGGTATACTAGCTATAGGTACTGACTGACAAAATTTATGGCGGCCCGTTTATTAGGCGCTGGGCAAGTAACATGTAGGTACTGATGTTCATGTCAATAAATATTAACTAAGTAACGTTTTCTATCTAACAGGATAAGAAATAACAATCAGTTATGTATGGATCCCAGGTCTGAAATAAAGAATTTAACTTGCAATCTGTTACTTAATATCAATGATCCAAAAGAGGGACAGAAAACCGGCGTGAAACAACCACAGCGATGTTGTGTTTCACCGTGTGAGTGAGGTTACCGAAGGCCTAAAACTCATAACTCCCCTGTTGTTGCGGGTTTCCATAGGCGGCGCTGATGACTTACCATCAGATAATCCGTCTGCTTGTTTGCCGATCTGACACATAAAAAGGGCAAACGATTGTCATTATTTCCAAGGCATTTCGTAGGCATTTTAAACGCGATTAATTTCTAGCCAGTTTGTATTTTACAGTAGATAGGTTCCTCTAAATTATCAAGTTTGGTCAACTTCCCAGCAACGCCGACGGCCGTGAAGCCACGGCGTGTCGGTCTGAAGACCTCGCAGCAGGTACGTGTTTTTAAATATGCTCATAGATTCTGAAAGGTTTTAGAGTAAGACTGAATGCCATTTCAGTCTTACTCTAAAACCTACTGTGTTAAAATTTTACTATAGGTGGGTCCCATACGTCCACTAGCCTGAGTATTGCATTATGAACGACCATTTTACTTGTGTCGGATAGCTGCGCTTTGCACCCAGTGAGACAGTTGTATATTTCTAGTTTACAGTTCAGTTGTTTCGATACGCGTGCCGAGGCAGTTAGCTTCATCTTTTTTGGGACTTCCTTATAGTAAAGGTTAACAGTGAACAGGCATGTGTTCTTTCTAAGGATCGAAGTACCCTGGACGAACTTGTCACTGTTGATCTTGATGCGTTTATTGTGATTGCTCTGAGGAGAAACACCAAAACAAATTCAGAGGTCACTTTTAAAGTCCAGACTACATCAATCTAGTACCTACTTCAAAGATTAATTAATTTTCACTGTAATGTTCAGTGTCACAATGTAAAGCATATTTAAAATGAACAAACCTACCCGATTCCTTATTATAATTGCTATCGCTGTTTGCAAATCCTTGCACACGGTTTCCTAAGCAAGTTGTTCGGAGCTTGGAGTCTGAGACTCACTCACTGTAGGTGAGTGCTGTGGTGCAATGTTGAATGTCGACGCGCTAACATCTTCGTAGCATGTGATTGCTATTGGCTTATAGATTACCACCAGGTGCTGGTCTGCTCATCTCCCCAATATTTCATTAAAAAAAGGATTTGCTCCTGAGTCGTTCATTCCTTGAACGTATGCATGCAGTAGTTATTTGTTGAATCATATTGAAGAAAAATGTTGTGTCTGATCTTCCCTCCCTGGCCCCCAAAAGGCCGGCAACACACTTGTAACTCCTCTGTATGTCCTCTGGTGGTGCCGATTGCTTACCATCAAGTGACCCGTCTGTTTGTTTATCGCCCTAACCTATACTTTAAAAATGTCAGCATGCGGCAGTCACAAAGCTTGCACTGACATCGGACCGCGGTACAGCAACCCTAAAGGGGAACAGTGACACGCGTCCGGCCAGCAGTCACACAGGTTGTACAGTGTACACGGGCGCGCAGTGCGCTATATCGGGCAGGTTCGCATGCTTGCTGTACCGCAGTCCGGCTGGTGTCAGCCTATGCTTGCCTGAAAATAAATCGGTACGTTAGGTATAAGTGCGAGCTCTTATGGCCGCGTTCAAGAACCAAGTCATCTTTAGATAAAGATTGATTTTGACGTAAACCTTAATTGTGTGTCGAAATTCTACACCTAGTAGCTAGGCAATCTAGGCAGAAGACAGGTTACTGAAACTGGTCAATATTGTATTGAAAACGAAAACAAGCCATTACTTCTTAACTATTTATTAAACTCTATTTATAATTTACGATAATAATATTGTATTCAATTTACATATATCTTTATGTACATACAGTTGTTAGCAAAATGTAAAAAGAAGGGGCGCCGCGCGGCCGCGTCGCGTCACCCGTGACGTCACGCGGCAGCGCAGTGGCGCCACCCACAGGCAAAAATACATTTCAAAAATGTAGCCAATATAAACTCTGTATTTACACAAACCCCGGACATTGCACTCGCAGTCAGTGCCCCAGTGTAGCGCGCAGCGAAGGCACGCATGCGCGGTGCTACCAGATACATAGCCCACGGCTCTCTAGTAGGAACGACTCAAGCACGGAACCAGAAAGTCCGTTCGAGACACAAATACACTATTCCATCATTTATGAATACATTTTGGAAAATAAACATGTACTTAACGAATACAGTTTACAAAATAAATTAAGCAGCCCGCAGCACGCAGCCCGCAGCCCGCACTAACAGTAATTTAAGTAAATAAAGCTAATACATTGGATGCAGCTATTTGGTCATTTTCAACCTAATTTCACGTATAAATAAAACTTAAAAATACATGCAAGCTAATAAATAGTGTTTAAAGATTAGTAAATACATTTATCTTGAGGAAGTACAATGAACATTTGCTTTGATTGTTGTTGTCTGTCTCCCTACCACACAAAGCTAGCTCGTGGCGAGACGTGGCGAGACGTGGCGGACACAGGCTCGCTCCTAGCTGACAACATCAATGACATATGTATGTCGCGTACAATACAAATTCAAGTGTATCAAGTAATTCTCTCGTTCCGCTCGGCGTCTAATAAATAACTTTCAAATTTCATAAAAGTGCATAAATGTGAAGTAGGCATAAGATGTACTTGTGTACCAACCGGGCCAGTCGTTGCGCGGTAGGCGGCGCGGCGCGGCGGCGCTCAGTTCCGCTTGGAGGGCGGCACCAGATGCGCGGGCAGCTCGGCGGGCAGGTCGTGCCCATCAATCTTCACGTGGATGAGGTGCATGGCCAGCGCGAACTCGTCCTCGTCCAGGAACCCGTCCTTGTCGATGTCCGACAGCTTCCAGATCTTGCCGAGCACCGAGTTTGGCAGCTTCGACTTGACCATCTCCGTCTTGGCGGCTGTCGACAAACGTTACCAGGTCACGACTCGAACGACACAACAATAAGCCAATAATTGTGACAGAACCGCTCGCCCACGGAATGGACGTACAGACAAAAAGCAAACATACAATATCGGCAGCTTCGTCTGATGGACAGCCAATGCACTCGCATGTCGGGGGTAGGGACAGGAAAGTACCTAAATTGCGTCAAACAACGTTGCAGTTAAGCGGTAAAATGCATCTCGCTGTCACGACCGCCGGACACGGTCGGCGACGGCTGCAAGCTGTAATAGACTGCGGTACACAACACTCGAACGATCTCTGACTCGGCAGTCTAATGGTTGGAAAACGAAATAGTGTCTATAGTATACCCAGTCAAAGGTAAAGTCAAAAAGTCATTAACACGCCACCATGTATTCTTTGAAGACTAGAAGGAAATCATTGTGCACAGAGACACACTCAGCTCTCTAGTACAACAGGTGTACAGGACGCCGACACCGCGGATGGCCTATGATGGCACGGTGCTCGTCAGCTTGGCTACAATATATCTGAGCATGTTGGCAACATTATCTCTGTAGAACAGCTCGGCAGCTGAATTTATTCTGACTGGCTGCTGATCCAGTCCAAAGGTAACATGTTTAGCTTTCTCCAACCAAGTGCTCGGGGACCTGTCCACATAAAATTCTAGGTACCTCTCGCCTGTGAACACGTACACCAGCGATATGAAGAGAACCTCGATCGTTATCATTAGCGTGACGAGGTTCAGCGTGAGGAGGACCAGGAACCGAACCGTGGTCCACAGTGGTCCTGCGCTGTTCGCGTGACTCGGTGGCGCGCTATCCCACTCAGTGTGAGTGTCCGCGTCAGTGTCATCGCGACCGTCGTCTGCTTGTACACGAGACCGTGAGCTCTCATCGTCGTGTTTATCGCTCGCGTCCACGTCCAGGCTGTCGGCCAAACTATGTATGGATACGACTGGGGAGTCGCGACCGCCGGGGACCGCGGCCGCCTCGAGACTCAAGAGGAACTGCGTGATTAGCTGACAGTTTTGTGTAGCACTAAAGAGAGAATCAACCAGTTGCGCGTGACTGTGGTTGTCGTCTCGGTCCTTGAGTTGCAAGCACAGATCAGTGATGAGAGAGCAGTTTTGTGTGGTAGAGAGGAGAGCGTCGAGAGCTTTGTGTACCGCGAAGTGGTAGGACGCCGCGTCGCGCCGGCGCGGCTGTGTGGGGCACATGTAAGGAAGTTGCGTACCAGCGCCTGTGACCTTTCCATCGATGGGGTTCAGCGCCTGGAAGATCTGGTCGTAGCGCGGCTTCTCCTTGCTGCAGATCCACTCGGGGTCGCCGTGGCCGGCGTCCACGCCCTCTCCTCGTCCGTAGCCGAATGGTGACACTTGGTCTTCCACACCTTCGAACGCACCACCTGTAATGTAATACGCCAATAATTACTACGTTGTCTACTATTTATTTATTTGCTACATCGAACATTTTTAGCGGCTGTTTAGCAACTATAATACTAGTGAAGCTTTCGAAACTTGGATCGTTCACGTGAGTAAGCTGTAACTTATTCATAACTAGCTTTTGCCCGCGACTTTGTTCGCGTGGAATAGCAGCTTTTTGTTAAAAAAAAAACTATCCTATGTCCTTTCTCGAGTTCCAAACTATGTCTGTTTGTACCAATTTAATTCGTTACACACAATTAGGTTCAACAGTTTCGGCGTGAAGAAAAGACAGACAGAGTTACATTAGCATTTATAATATTAGTTTCCATTAATGTACACCCAGGTGTTGGGCAGTCCAGTAGCTGTTTACACAAAACTGCAACAATTGGCTTGACAAACAAACGGTTTAATGTAAGACTGAAAACAAATAATTGATAACATCCTAAAAACAAAAATATCAATTTTTGTTCAGACATATTTGATAGGTTAAAATAATGGGCTATGCTTAGCTTATGTGCTTGAAATATAAACTTATGTGCTTCAATTGACAAACCTACCGCTATATTGGAAGTCGGTCAAAAACGTATTACTTTTCTTGTACCTATTAGTATTACATCTATTATCTATGTATATTTTATTTTACTATATAAAAGAAAGCCGTATTAGTTACTCCACTTATAACTCAAGAAAGGCTGAACCGATTTAGCTGAAAATTGGCAAGGAGGTAGTTTAGGGCCAGGAGAAGGACATAGGATACTTTGTCCCATTCGACAGCATTCCCATGTGACATGCATTCCCATGTAATGATGACATGCCGTATGGATGACAATTTGATATTTGAAAGAAATCAATAATAAAACTATTTCTATTAAATAAATAATTAACAATTATAATGTTAATTATTTATTTTGGACAGAGTAGCTAGTGTAGGTTAGGTAGAGTAGGGTAGGTAGATTAGGGAAGGTAGAGTAGGGTAGGTACGGTGTGGTAGGTAGTGACGGGAGCGACGCCGCGGGTAAGAGCTAGTATAGTAATAAAAAAACATTTTGACGTGTGTAAATGTCATCAATATTAGTTTTATAAAAACTAATCTGTAGTTACTGTAACACAGGTTCGCGAACCCCGGTGAGTCTGTGACTGTCACATTACGCATTCTAGGAGGAATGACACCTGACATGTGCATTGTGCAGATCTTCATTCTAAGTGATTATATTTTACAATTCGGGACAGTGAACAATACTTTCGCTATTTCACGGGTGTAGCGGGCGGTGGGTGTATTAGTGTCTGTTTTATGTTTTATCAGTAAGGGTATCGTTTTACAGTAATATAATTTTTAAATTTAGAGTTTAGAGTGCCTATTTAATGTAAGACTGAATACCTGCTCGCAATGCTTTTAAGTACACTTCAGAGTGGGACAAGAAAGGCAATGTTTGCTAAAGGGCACAACACAACACAACAACCCGATATACAACTTACATAGATCTGGTACTTTAAAATCTTCTAAACGCTAGACAGAGTACCCGCAACTTTACCTATCCGATCACTGTAATGGTTATAAGTGGTTACGTATGAAGCAGACATATATAATTACATATATATTCTATTATTTAGACTAGTTGTGAAGATGTATCGTGTAACTAAATCACACTTGTGAGGGCCGTTAATAGTATTGTCAGCGCGCATATCATCTGCATACCAAATGTATTTAATTACGTTCGGACGGCACATAAACAACTTGTATGTTGCGCCGTCTCTGCGACTACGTGCGACACTTTGTAAATGGGAATTATATGCCAGTCGTGTCTTACAAGCTTGGGTCAAGTTAAGCGGAGGGCAGGAACAATTGACTATTTTCTTGAACCGAACAATTTGACATTATGTTACTAGTAATTTGATGGTACAAGTGGATTAAATAACAGGTGAAAATTATTAGAATAATAAATGGGACTTGAACAACATTGACAATACCTAAGTAGTTGTTACATTAAAATAAAGATCACTGTCCACCTCTTTTGGGAGATTAATCATGTAAAGTAATGTCAGTACAGATCAACTGACAAGCTGTAAATTAAAGACGAGGACGAGGACAAGACAAGTCTATTGAATAGGTCGGTACTATTGATTTAGTGTCTGCGCGTTCGGCAGAGCGTGCCGGGCCGCGAGTTTTTCATCAGCAAAAAGACGCAGCAAGCTCGAATCCTCACACCTCTAATACAATAATTCAGTCAATATCAAGTTGGTCAATGCTCAGTTCTTTGTTAAATAAATTAGGTAACAACATGGGCAGTAATGTAATTGTTTGCAGTAAAGATATCGCAAACGGAGCGGTACTTTTTGTTGCACCGAATAGCAGTTGTTTAAATCCACAGTTAGGTGAGGAGGTCGTACAGGCCACTACACGACACAATGTCAACGTATGCTATAGGGGCTGTGAGTGTCGCTAGCAAAATAAAGCATTCGTCGGGTGTCGTGGCTCTTACAATTACTATTTTATATTTAGTTGTTGATCGTCCAAACCATAGTTTACTTTTCCAGAGGAAATGTACAACTAATATTTATTAAACAATTACGTTACTTCAAGTTCAAACAACGTTTAAATATTTGTTTCCGAATTACGCAAGAGCAGTTCAGATACAAATACGTAGTAACATGGTATACCTTCAGGCACACACGTCTGGACACACCTCGTCTAACATACGGGAGAAAATCTTTCATCCTGTGCTGCAGATGAACGCACATGTTGCGGCGCCCAGTCAATACGTCTTATTACTAGTATGCAAAAACATCAGAACAACACTGTCATAGCGTGACACTGACTACATCCAACCCGTTCGTTCTAGCTCCTGCGTTATGGAGGATAACTGTCTATGGCTAGTTACGCCCGTGACCATAGCCGGCATCGACCCTATGGGAGCCTTCTGTGAAGTTTGATGGCTCTTTGAGGTACATGTTCAACGCGTCGCGTTGTACACGCAGAAGTTACTGCGTCTATATACATAGTCTGGCCATAAATACTGTTACAATTAACAATAAACAAAATATTACATTTGAATTTGGAATCTGTCAATTTTATATAATTTTTCATTGTGTTTTCTTATTTTGGCGCCAATAAATTGTTCAATATTTTGCGATATTAAAATGGAGTGGGGTGATAAAGAGAACCGAATCGCTGTGATTGCATTACACAAAGTGGGTATGGAGCCAAATGCAATTTTTAAAACTCTCTACACGCTTGGTATTAGTCAAATGTTTGTGTATCGGGCTATTAATAGGTACAATGAGACCTCCTCTGTTTGTGACGGAAAAAGATCTGACCGTCCACGTAGTGTTCGTACTAAAAAGGTGGTCAAAGCAGTAAGGGAAAGAATTCGAAGAAATCCTGTCCGAAAGCAAAAGATTTCATCTCGTGAGATGAAGATAGCACCTAAAACCATGACTTAGGACTTGCAGCCTATAAGAGACGCACTGGACATTTTTAAATGATAATTTAAAAAAGAATAGGGTGATAAAATCTAAACAACTACTGAAGCGGTACGCAAAGGGAGGTCAAAGAAAAATTTTGTTTACGGATGAGAAAATTTTTACAATTGAGCAACAGTTTAACAAACAAAATGACCGTATTTATGCTCAAAGCTCTAAGGAAGCTTCTCAATTAGTCGACAGAGTGCAACGTGGGCATTATCCGACTTCAGTGATGGTTTGGTGGGGTGTTAGCTATGAAGGAGTGACTGAGCCATATTTTTGCGAAAAAGGTAGGTATCAAAACATCGGCAGAAGTGTATGAAAATACCATTATTGAGAAGGTAGTTAAGCCCCTTAACAACACTATGTTCAATAACCAACAATGGTCCTTCCAGCAAGACTCGGCGCCGGGTCATAAAGCTCAGTCCACGCAGTCTTGGTTGGAAACGAACGTTTCCGACTTCATCAGAGCTGAAGGCTGGCCGTCGTCTAGTCCCGATCTTAATCCGCTGGATTATGATTTATGGTCAGTTTTAGAGAGTAGGGCTTGCTCTAAACGTCATGATAATTTAGACTTCCTAAAACAATCCATACGATTGGCAGTGAAGAATTTTCCCATGGAAAGAGTGCGTGCTTCTATTGATAACTGGCCTTAAACGTTGAGTTTAAAGGACTGTATTGCAGCCAATGGAGACCACTTCGAATAAGCTTTTTATGTTTTATATTTATGTATTAAACTTACATACTGTAAAAGTAGTAAATGTTATTTGCAATAGAATATTTTTTTTTATTTGTTACAGTATTTATGGCTAGACTAGGTATATTATATGTATTCTCAAAGCGACATAAAGGTATGTAAGAAATGTGACGTCACAATCCACATAGTGATGAGAAGTCGCCAGACGAAGAACATAATCAAGAGATAATGATGCAATAATCTAGATCGGGCACATGTGAAAGTGTCGGACAATGGCAGGACTGCCTGTAACTGCTGTGTATCGAGCGCGGCATCGCTGCCCTTAATGAGTGCACTGACTGTACTTGTCCTGCTCATGACGATGCATGGAGGATGTTATCATTATGAAACTTATGAAATGTGTGCTCTACTGCTGTTGCTACGAGTATTACTTAGCGATACACTCAGGTGATCATTCGTATCATCACTTCATTAGTCATCATCATCAACATTCAAGTATAAAACAAATCATTATCATTACACAGTATAAAGCAAAGTGGCATTCTCTGTCGCTATGTATGCTTTAAATCTTTAAAGCTACGATACGATACTATGATAACATCTATGAAATAGTGGAGAAATTGAGTATCAAAATTGTCCCGTGCGAAGCCGGGGCTGTCGCTAGTAAATAGTACCTATAAGTATGATGACAACGATTCCTTCAATAGAAGTCCTGGTCCAGGTGAATTAAAATGTAAACTATTCGATATAAGACGTGTTGAGCTGTGACTGTATGCCACGCGTATAGTACGTGTAGGTATATCTAGATATGGCTTTCCATGA